CCTTCCCCCCGCCTGCCACAGGGTGGTGAGGTCCAGGCTGCACCGGACCCCGCGGCAGCACAGGGCCAAGGAGCCGGGGTCCGCGGGCGCTCAGCGAAGAGACAAGCCAGAGGCCCCAGAGAGCGCGCCCGTGCCGAGCTGGTGGGAGCCTGAGTGAGCCGGGTGGGCGGAAGGCAGCAGGAGGCCCCGTGGGGGCTTTATTGACGCCGCTGTCTCAATACAAACAGTCCTGAAAGAAGTCCTGTCCCTCCAGGGGAGGGCGGAGCGGTTGTGTTGCTGGAGGGGCCCAACTCACCACCCACAGGTAGGGGCTGTGCCCAGACTGCCCCGCAGCAGAGAGGATGGCACCAAGATGGCACAGTGCACGGCCCAGCTGCCGAGGCGAGGCCTGCTGCAGGCCCCGCGGGCCAGGAGAGCAGAGGACCAAGCCGAGCGTACAGCCAGCTCTGTCCCAGTCCCATCTCCCTGGCTGGCCGCAGAGACGCAGCATCTGGTCATGAGACACAGGCCAGGGCAGGAGGGACACAGGGCTGCCGTGGCCACAGTGATGCGGGACTCTGAGACACTCAGCAGGCAGGCTCCAGATGGCGGGGACAGGAGAAGGTCACTCGGGAAACTGAAGCGCCAGTCTCTAGCCCTTAGGCCCCAAGGTCCTTCCCCTCCTGACCTCCCCGGCACCCAGGAACAGCAGGGAAAACCCAGGGCCTCCCAGGGGCCCCCTGCCATTGCTGCAAAGCGGAGGGAGCCCCCTGACCCCCCGAGAGCTGGGAGAAGCCTCGCACGTTCCACTTCCCTTTGGGAAGAGCGAGCCAGAGCAGCTGAGCAGAAGCCGGCCGGCGCCTGCCCCCTCCAACACAGCCAAGTGAGCCGCACCTTTGGGTGGGCCGAAGACGGGACGAGGAGAGAGCAGCCCACAGGTAGAGGGAGGGCTGGTGTTGCTGCGGCCCTGCCCTGAGTCCTCCAAGGCCACCCATCGCACAGCACAGAAGTCAGGATCCTCCCCAACTTCCACCGGGCAGGGCAGGCGTCACTGGCTGGGAACCGCGGGCTCCAGCCACAGGGCTGGGGTCAATAAGAACCATAGCGATCCTGGGGCAGGGACAGAAAAAGGGAAGTCAGGTTCCGGGCCGCTAGGGCGCCCAGGATGCGCACTGCCTCCCCCGACACCTGGGCTGCAGCGCACGGCAGGCAGAGGGGGCCACAGCAGGGGAACACACCGCAGACCCCGGGGAGAGCCCCACCAGGACAGAACCAGAAGGAAGGCAACCGCGCTGCCCCCAGGTCAGCAGAGGGGATCCCGCACGCACCACAGGCCTCACCTGCAGCGAGTTCATCACCCCACTGGCCAGCACAGCCATCTTGCCAGCCACAGACTTGACGCCCTGCTTAAACTGCGCCATGTCGGCGGTGGGGAGCACATTGCCCAGAGACACGCTTCCTGTGAAGGGAAGGGAGGGTGACCCCGAGCCCTGCGGGTGGCCCACCCTGCACCACCGCCCCACCTCACCCACCTGCTCCATGAGCTCCATCCATGTCCCCAAAGAGGTCTGCAGAGCTGATAGCACTGCTGCCCGAGAGCTGCTGTAGCCGGGACCTGGCTTCATACTATGAAAGAAAAGACGGGCCTGGGGACCTTCGGCCATGGAGGTGACAACTCCCACCCGCCAGGCCACATGGAGCAGAAGTCCTCAAGTGTCACGTGGCTGCTCACTCACCTCGGTGTCCACCTCCCGCCCGAAGAACATGTCTGATGAGATGGCTTTGGCGCCCGCAAATTTCTGCTGTGCTTCGCTGGACTCCTGGCCCGCACTCCGGCTCTCCACCTCCCTCCGGCTGGTGGCTCTGCAGAGGAGAGAGGACCCAAACCACAGCTCTGCTAGGGGCCCTTTCTGTCTGTGGCTCTGGAGCACAGGGACCCCCTGCCCGGGGAGAGACTCTCCAGAGGGTCACAGGAGCCCCTCCCTTCTCCACACAGCCAGCACAGAGTGGAAACCTGGCTTGGGGGAGTCTGGGCTTCAGCCCCCACCCCCACGGCCTGTACTGTCACTGCCGCTGTCCTGGTACCAGGGACTATCTGCCCGACATGGGTGACCACACGCTCAGCTGGCCTGTCTCGACAGTCTCGGCACCTACAGTACAGATACCACTAGGGGTTTTACAAGGTTCACCACATTTCTTTACAAATGAATGATTTGAGGATAACTTAACAGCAAATCACAGCCCAGATCAACATGGGATGAGGATTTAAAAAAATAAATTAGGGCCGGTGTGCAGCTCAGGGACAGCACGCCCAGAATGTGCAGGAAGGGCCCGGGTTCATCTCCTGCACCACCAACATGTAAACAGCCTTTAGGAAGGAGGCCAGGATGAGGAGTAAAACTGGGCCCCTTTTGCCAAAGAGTCAGATCCCAAGCCACAGCGACAACCAGAGAGCCAGGCTCCCTGAGATGTGATATAGCTCGCCCCACCACCCAATCCCTGTCCTGTCTACTGAGGTAGCTCCGACCACAGGGGCGACGATAACATTACGCTTCCTGAAACTACACGAGATGGTGCTAGAAATTCAGTTCCTTGGCTCACAGCCGTGTGTTCAAGGCTCAAGAGCACCCCCAGCAAGTGGCCAGCATGCAGCCAGATACAGAACTTCCCTCCTCACAGGAAGCGCTACTGTATTTGCTGCCCCAGAGCCCTGTACCTTTCTGAAACTGGCCGGATGCTTGAGATAGTCACTTCTGGCTCCTTCTCCTCCACCCTGTCCATTCCCCAGGTGGCATCAGTGTCCCAGCGAGAACCAAAGGATTCCAGGGAAAATGGGTTGTCCTTGTACCTAGGGAGACAGCAGGGGGGCTCAAAGCAGCCAGATAAGCTAGGTGGTGGCCAAGTCTACACCCCAGCAGTAGCCTTACTTCGGGGGCCCAGAGGCGAAAGTTCCAACGTCGTCAAACAAGTCGAGCTGCGAGCGGGAGGATTTTGCAGTCACTGGGGTTTCCTGCTCGATCACCTGCATCTCAGACAGCACCGAGTGAGACACGGAGCTGTACAAAAAGCAGCAGGCACGCAGGCAGCATCAGCATCATGGCACAAGAGTGGCCAGGTGGCTGCCAGCCCACTTCCCCACACACCACCCACTCCTCCCCTCCCTGCCGTGTACAGCGGTGGTCAGACCCAGGGGGGCACCAGGCACTGGTGGCAGCTTGGGGAGGGGAGCCCGGAAAAGCTTCCCTGGCCAGCAGCCGTTGCCCGGGGCACTTTAACACAAGCGTGCCAAAGTCGTGCTGCATCCTGGACAGCCACTCCGGCCCCAGACCCAGAGGACAGCATGAGAAATGCCCAGGTGAGGAGACTGCCCAGGCCACCCAAGGAGGGTCCTTAATGACCCTGTCCCCTTCCCAACCAGAGGAAGAGCACTTAGGCACCCAGAGTCTGGCCCATGTACTGAGCACCAGCTGGGTGTTGTTCCTATGAGGGGCCTGGGACAGGGTGGGTGGGCGGATGGCTTTGGCCTCATTCCTCCACCAGCCTCCACAGGGCCACTTGCAAGATTAATCGGAGTCAAATGAACTCTTCAGAAACTAGCTACAGCTTCTGGCTGGAAAAACCCCGAGGAGGGCATGTTTTGCAATCGACTTTAGATAGGATAGGCTGGATTTCAGTAAGACAGCATGTTGTACTGCCGGAAAAAAGGAAACAGGAAGTTGTCCATGGCCCTCAACCTAGTCACTCTTCTGTAACCAAAACCGGTGGGGGAATGTAGGACTCCACCAATCCTTTTCCAGACTCAAATTGTATGTTTTGCTGAGCAGCTATGATGACACCAGCAGCACACAGATAGAGCTCCTCCCAGAAAATAATGGCTAGAAATACTGACTTGCAGTGGTACACATCCGGAATCTCAGCTACTCAAGAAGCTGAGGCAGGAGGATCACAAGTCTGAGGCCAGCCTGGGCAATTTGGCAAGACCATCTCAAAGCAACCACAAAAAGGGCTGAGACGGTCGGTGGAAGACAGCCTGAGTTCGATCCCCAGTGCCATAACAGTAAATAAAGAAAAAAGAAAAATACTGAATGTGGAATCAAATAGTTTTGTGTTAAAAATCTACTTATGAGCCAGGTGTGATGGCACTGTCCTCTAATCCGAGCTATTTGGAAGGCTGAGGCAGCAAGATCACAAGTTCAAGGCCAGTCTGTGCAACTCAGGCACTGTCTCAAAACAGAAGTTATGAGAACACATCTCAGTGGTAGAGCACTTGCTTACCTGGCAGGCACAAGCCCCTGGGTTCAAGGCCCAGTACTGGAAAAAATCTAGTTCTGATAGCTACTCTATTTGTGGGCTCTAGGCAAGGTACTTACGTACCCTGCATCTCAACCATTTTCATGTGTATGAAGGAGTTAACAGTCGCTCCCGTCTTATCCCACCCAAGGCCCATCAGAATGAGCTCAAACCTCCTCAGAAGAAGCACAACTATGAGACACGCCTCTTTTTTTTTTTTTTTTTTTTTTTGTACTGTGGACTGAACCCAGGGCCTTGGCACTGAGTTATGACTCCAGCCTATTTTTTTTAAGCTTTGAAAGGTCTCACTAAGTTGCCTAGTCTGGGCTCAAATTTTCAGTCCTCCCTGTTTCAGCTCCCAGAGAGCTGGAATTACAGGTGTATCCCCAAGCCCAGCTAGAAATTCCAATTTTTAAGAGAACAAAAATCTATTATGTGGATCTCTTGACATTAACTCACAGCGAGATACAAAAGTACCAGAGCTGGTCTGCAACACTCGCTCTGGTTAAGAAATGTGCAGCAACACAAGCAGTGGTTCTGAAACAGAAAAGGCAGTACCCACCCGAAAGGCACAAAAACTGGGGGTAGCTGTTGTCAGCAAACGGCACTGAGTGGACAGAGATGAGAGATGCTGAGGACCTGCAGGTCTGTTTGGTCTTGAAAAATGAAGAAGTGTCCCACCCTCGTCTGCCATTAGCACCCTCAGTAACGTGCCCACCCCCGGCACTCGCTAAGTCCACACAGCGCCCTCAGCGCTGCAGCAGGTGCTTTAACACGATGCACTCAACACAGTGGTTTACTCCACCTCAAGGGAGACTAAGCACAGAATCGGAACTACCGGGCAGACCCCACCTAGTTCCCAGGAAACCACTGGCACTGCCCGCCACGCCCTGCCAACCTCACCTGCGGGACACCAGGCCCATGCCCAGCCTCTCGGCCTGCTCCCGCTTCCTCCCTTCCAGGTTCTGCAGCTTCTTCTCCTCCTCCTTCCGGTCGATCTGGAGCTCCTGGTAGGCCAGGCGCATAGAGGCGACCCTGTAGGACAGGGAGAG